ATTAAGGAGGTATTATAATCAGTTTTGTAAACTCTCTCTCTCTTGTATCTCTCATATTATGGGTCAGTATATTGTAAACTCTCTATAGGTTAGATTGGATATTTAGATATTTTATTTGTAAACTCTTTTCCGTCTTTATATTATTAAATTTTGTTGTTCCTTGTTAAGTGTCGTTGACTTAATGCCTAATGGACATCCTATCACTTATCTGCATCTTCCCCACTTGCTAAATTTTAAGCTCTCCTTTTAATAATATGTTAAACGTGTGATAGGGCACGAATTCCATCCCTATCTGGTGTCAAGTCCTGACTGAGACGAAGATCTTATGATTTTCTTGTCTCCAACGTTAAATTAGCCATCCTAAGACTCAGTGAGTAATTTTTACCAAATCATAACCATTAAATCGTTCGATCATTTAACTTTATCAAACCAGATTCTTCAAATTTATTTACTGAAATAATTCTTTTAAATAACGAAAAACATTTAATATTTTAAATCAGTTTGATTTCTTAGATGGCTTCTATGTCAAGAATGCCACAGAAATTGAATGGCATCACATTACCCATTGTAGGTATTTCTGTGGTCATGTGACCACAAACATGTGGCTTGAACTAAGATTTGTTTACAAAATTATTTTTTTTTATATTTNCAAGAAATTTGTGATGTGAATATTGAAGAAATTATACCTTCCACATCAAATCATCCAAAGAGGAGGAAATCAGCTATTACAGAACAATCACTAAAAGAAATTAGTAATGTAAATAGGTGAGAGTATATTTTCTATTTACAGAACACTAATATATGTAATAATTGTCAAAATCTGTTTTATACATGTTTGACAAAAATTTATAAAAAATTACAATTCAGAACGTTAAAAACTTATTTCTTTGCAGAAAATTGAATGATTGTCAAGGAAGTCCTTTCGCACTATATTTTGACAGCTTATTGAAGCAAGTTCCATAAAAAAAAAAATAAGAAGAAGAATGTGCGAAAGAACAGTTATTAATGTTGTGAACAGTTTTATTGATGATATAAACATCACTTTTTAAACAATTTTGTTTATTTAATTATCAATATATATTAGTCCATTGCCAAGATACATTCCTTTCTGAAACAAAATATATGACAAATTTGTCTCTGATGTCTTCTGCCAATTTTGAAAAATTGCATGATACATTTTGTTTGAATGGCTTCCATTGCTCACACAATTCATCTGTGAGCCATGAACCTTTGCAAAATACGGAGATTATTTAGATCCTAATGGTGTATCGTTCTGGACAATATGCTGCTTCATCTAGAAGATATATATTTTATATTTATAGTATTAATAACAAATAAAAATAATTACAGTAGAGCGTCGATTTTCCGAATCAATTGGGGACTGGGGTTGTTCGTATAACTGATATTTCGGATAACCGATTTATGTACGAAAAAATAGTTTAACGTATCCGATATTGAAATTTTTCTCCATTGCGTGTCACTTTGCGTTGAATTTTCGTCGATGTTAAGCCTAATAAAGACTATTGTATCGTTAAAAATTATTTTTTTATTTTGTACAAACAAAATAAATATATTGAAAAATATAAAAACAATAAAAAAATATACTTCAGATGTTAATTTGGTATCAAAAACGTAAAATATTTGAGTAGCCCAAGACATAGTCAAAGATTGAAGCGCCACAGCACTGGCAAAAATTTAAATTTGCCGACTGGAATTCTTTCGGATGATTGACTTTCGGAAAATCGACGCTCTACTGCATTGTAATAAATGATACCTGATAAATTATTCTCAGTAATCATATAATTGTGCAACACAATATCTGTTATTATTATTTTATCTATATTATTTGGTGCTAAAGCAATGGGTCTTCGAAAAATTCTCCATCGATTGGCAAGTATACCAAAGGCACATTCAATACAACGCCTACAAATACATTAATAGTTAATTCTAGATACAAATAATATAAAGAAAATATAAATATACCTTGCTCGACTTAAGTGATAATTAAACACACTCTGCAAAGGGAACAGTTGTCTACCAGGATATGGTCTCATAAAATCTGGGCAGAGTTGAAATGCTTCATCTATCAACACATGTGGTGCTAAAGTATTTGAATTGGGCAGAATACTTGAACTTGCTATCCCCAATGTTCCATTTTTCAAATTTCTGCCTAGTGTTGATGCCTTCAGAACTCCATCAGAAAATGAGCCATATGCACCAACATCAACAGTCAAGAATTTGCAATGCACATTAGCAATGCCTAACAATACAATGGAATTAGTTCCCTGGAAGAAATTTAAACAAATTAAAATTCTTGAATTTTATATATCTATTTCAAATTTCTTGACATTGTTGAGCATTAGTAATTTTATCAATTTTTAACAAGCTTTTAAAATAGTATATAGGTTGTGAACTCCGCAAGGCACGTGGTCTGCGGTTACAGATATACGATAGAAAGAACAAAGGGAAGGACAATGAAAAATCGGTAGACACGTGTGATCAGGCAAACAAAGGTTTATTTTGGTAAAAGAAAAACGCGGTACAATATATATCTCAATAAACAGTCCAACACCCGACAGTTATTGTAACAAATAACGAAATAGCCTGACGTTCCCCTTTCCGTTAACCTTCCTCACGCGAGGCCCCGTTCTTTTTCGACAATTAAATATAGATCCGAAAATAAAAATATTGTGGACGGAGTACCTAAGGGACTTGCAAGGGTTCTGTCGTAGCGGTCCGATTGTGGGCTTCGATGGGGAATCTTCTTCTTTTCGAGTCGCAACTTCCTTTCTTCTACCAACGGTCCACTCTCTTCTCGGTCGCTCTTCTCTCCTTTTTCGTCTGCGGTTCTCTCCCTTTCTTTCTCGAAAAAGTCCAAGAGTCCTCATTCTTACTCCTTACACCCGCTTTTATAACTCCCTCCAACTCCGTCACACTGTCACGGACCAATCAGACGCCGGAAACTTAGCCATCGGCTAACAGGAGGCACCGAGGAAGGAAACGGAAGGGAAACGGTACAAATTATACGCGCGACGCGACATAAACGGAAAACAAACAAA